CTCAGGTCCATAGCCTTCCCAGTCCACCAGATACTGGAGCTGACCCCCTCTTCGTCTCGAGTCCAGTAACACATTCACCCTATATGCCAGAGTTCCATCAAAGTCCAGTGGTGGTGGTGGTGGTTCTGGGGCTTCATGGCCAGGGTCAGTTCCCGAGTGGACGGGTTTGAGGAGGGACACATGGAAAGAGGGAGAGATACGATAGTGCTTGGTAGCCGCAACTTGATGTCCTTCATGGCGAGCCAGACCCGTTGTCCTGGTTGGTAGGGAGGGTGTGGGCGACATCGTCTATTGGCTTGGAATTCTTGTGTTCTCACAGCTCGCTGGAGATGGACATGAGCACTGTCCCACACCCTCTCACTACATAGAATCCAGTCGTCCACTGCAGGAACCGAGGAGGGATCGCCAGACCATGGGAACAGAGGCGGTTGGAATCCTAGGACACACTGGAAGGAGGTTAGACCTGTAGAGGAGTGAGTCAGAGTTTTGGGCGTATTCCGCCCATGGCAAGAACTCAGACCATCTGTGCTGTTCACGGCTGCAGTAGCTTCGGAGATATCTTCCTATTTCCAACATCATAGTTGCGCTCAGCGGAGGTTAGTTTTCTGGAGAAGAAAGCACATGGATACAATTTGCTTGGTTGTCCTTGTCTCTGAGAGAGTATAGCACCTATGCCACAGTCTGCGGCATCCACCTCTAGTATGAATGGTTCGTTCGGATCAGGATGTTTTAGGATAGGGGCTGTTGTGAATCGTTCGTGAAAACGGTTTATTCTTGAGGAGTGAGGTGAGAGGAGAGGCAACCATACTATAAATTTCGGATAAACCTCCTATAGAAATTGGCAAAGCCTAGAAATCTCTGCAGATCCTTGACGGTTCTAGGTTGTGGCCATTCAGTGACTGCCTGAACTTTGAGGTCATTCATCTTGACGCCCTGTGAGCTGATGTGGTAGAGAGAGAGAGAAAGAGAGAGAGGGTCAAATAAATAAATAAATATTAACTGCTAATTGTCAAGGCATCATTTCACATTATTTTTTAGTTTAACTTGAAGTACTAAAATAACTAAAACTGAAATAAAAAAAATTATTTTATTATTTTGTTTTTTTATTTAAGCTTTTTGACATTTACAGGGATTAAACATAGTTGACACATCCGAGCTAATATAAATTGCCCAGGTGGCCATTCATTTATCCAAGTTGAGTTTGGATCGTTTAAGTGCCATTCCAGTATAAAACGAAGATGGGCAGAAAGCTGATATAGTTTAATGTCCGGGGCCGCTAGACCTCCACATCTGCTCGGTAATGTTAAGAAGCTATATCTCAGTCTTGGTCTTTTTTCCGCCAAATAAAAGAAATAATGTAGCCACGTAACTGTTTTAGTGCTTTGCTAGGAATGAGAACTGGTAGCATTTGAAATGGGTATAGAAGGCGGCGTAGAATATTCATTTTAATGAGGTGAACATGGCCTAATAGAGATAGGGGAAGATTACACCATCTATCCAGGTCTGATCTAATATTCTTAAGGATAGGGACAAAATAGTTTTTATATCGATTTTCCAAATTCGGCGTAATCTTTATACCCAAATAGACAAAGCCCGCCGGAGACCATTTAAATGGGTGAGAGATTGTGGGGTCGTGGGAATGCGATTGACTTAACGGCATTGCTTCTGATTTTAAAAGATTTATTTTATACCCCGAGAAGGAGCCAAAATTGGAAATCGTATCAATTAGATATGGAATTGATTGTTGTGGAGAGTTGAGGTAAATCAAGATATCATCGGCATAAAGTGAAATTTTATGCATTCTCTTTTCTAGTCTAAGCCCTTCAATGGATGGGTCATCTCTAATGGACGCAGCCAGTGGTTCAATAGCCAGTGCGAACAGCAGCGGCGACATTGGGCATCCTTACCTGGTACCACGAGCTAATGTAAATTCAGGGGATTTAAGACCATTAGTAATAACTCTCGCTGTGGGAGAGAAGTAAAGAATCCTTATCCATTTAATAAAAACATCACCCAAGTTAAATTTAGAGAGCACGGAGAATAAATATGGCCATTCGACCCTGTCGAATGCCTTTTCAGCATCTAATGAGATGACTAACCCAGAATTTGTATGCTGATTTGAATACTGAATTATATTAAGAAGCCTTCTAACATTATGAGCTGAAGATCTGCCTTTAACAAAGCCAGTCTGGTCAGGATTAATTATTGTGGGGAGTATTGATTCAAGCCGGATAGCTAATATCTTCGCTAACATTTTTGTATCCACATTAAGCAAAGAAATAGGGCGATACGATCCGCACTCCTCAGGGCATTTGCCTTTTTTTAGAAAAACACAAATGTTGGCTTCTGTCATGGAGCCAGGAAGCCTATTAGAATCAAATGAATACTGTATCATTTCATGCATTAAGCTCGCTAACTCCATTTTAAATTTCTGAAAGAATTCCACAGTAAACCCATCGGGCCCTGGTGCTTTTCCTTTGGGGAGACTGTTAATACAATTCAAAATTTCGCTGAGTTCAATTGGTTTGTTTAACGTCTGTCTTTGCTCCTCAGTTAATTCCTGTAAATTTAAGTTTGCAAGGAATTTATTCATATTATCACCCAAAGAAAAGCCCGATTGGGACGTGTAAAGCCTATTATAAAATGCCCCAAAAATTTTGTTAATTGCTTTGTTATCGTGATGGCACCTGCCTTCTTTATCTGAACTCCTTAAAATATGAACGAAACATCAGTAGAAGTATGTCACAAAAAACATGGGCAGTCTGTTACCATGTCACTCAGCCTCTCAGGGGCGATTTGTACCTGGCGAAGTGGTGGTTGATGGTTCGGGCAGACCGTCCAGAAAATACTCTGCCTCCGCCGGCTGTTTGAAGAATTTTTCGCCGCCGTTGTGCTGTAGGCCTATTCGAAGAGTCGCTGGGTATCGTTCACGGAGTCGTTTCTTCACATTTCCAAAGGCTTGTCTTTTCCTCACAATGGCCGCAAAGAAGTCTTCAAAGATAGAGATGTTATGGCGTTTGTAGACCAGCTGACTCGCGGTTCTCACTGCCTGCAGAACGCGTGCCTTGTCTTGAAAATTAGGTAGTTTTACCATCAGTGCTCTCGGTCGTTCTCCTGATGTGGGAAGACGTGAGGGGACACGATGCGCACGCTCTATCTTTACCTGATGATTCTTGAAGTCGGTGTTAAGCAGATTGGGCAGCCAGGTCCTGAGGAACGAGACCGGGTTAGTCCCCTCCTCCCCTTCAGGTAGGCCAATTATTCGGATATTGCATCGCCTGCTCCTGTTTTCTAGGTCATCTATCTTTTCCAGGGCCACGTCAAGCTTTTTTTTCACTTCATTCAAATCCGCGTTATCTCTTGAGACCGTGTCTTCCACCGCCGATATACGTGTTTCAGCTTCAGTGACTCGGTTTTCCACCTGCTCGACATGTGTCGCTACCGCCGACAATTTCTCTAACACTGGATCAATTTTATTCTCCAAAGCTTTCTCGACGCCCACCAGGACCTCTGTTGTTATTTTCTTCACTAGTGCGTCCATGTCAATCGGATTCATTAGTGCATCTGCCATTTTCGGAGAGGAGCGAGTGCTGATATTCGATAATTTTCTGCTACGAAGTTTGTGACTGGAATCAAGTTGTTTCTTTGGCATGCCTTGTAACTTCTATATTTAAGTTCTGCACTTTCAGAGATGATATTGAGTCTAGCGGGGGAGATTTTGAAGGCTTTGCCGGAGCTCGTCGTCAACACTGCTACTCCATTAGATGCGTCACGTGACCCCCAAAAAATTAATTTTAACTTAATTTTAAATTAATTTTAAAAACTTTATAGACATATTTTTACAAAATCTTACTGTTAAAAACTAGAGGTGTCAATATAATGAAATAGTTATTAGTTCGTTTTTTTAGAAAGCAGAATGAAATTCAGAAAACTGTAACTGTGATATTATATATGTTGTTTCCAGAAAATATTATAGAATATTTGATTTGTATGTTGAGAGTATATTTTTGTCCAACTCTATTAAAGTTTGATCTGTATGCCTTTAAAAAATAATATGTTTGTATAGTTTGTGAGTCCGTGCTTAGCTGTATTTTTATTTCTTGTGCTGCAGTTCTTTTGATGTCTAATTAATTTTGAGGCTCATTTGACCTGAGAATGTGCACATGCATCAGAAACACAAACAACAGGCTTGAGCGATAAAGGCTAAAGTGTTTGCAGCAGGACGAGACTACATTTTTATGTGTAGTCCTGCTTTCCCCCTGGCCCAATGAATAACATTTTTGGGCTTCATCACACAGCGTTTGTTTGGTGATGCTGTTACTGTTAGCGGAAGCTAAATTTGAGAATATAATTCTTTTGTTTTAAGCAGCTGAATCCTTCATGCAAATGATTGCGTATTTCAGCACTTTGGAAATCCATGATGGGTCGACAGCATGTGAAATGAGCATTTCACGGAACATGGATGGCTCCTGTGTGCTTACGGGTACACAACAGCACTGTATTTACTTTAATTGTGATATTACACGCAGCTCTATTCTCCGTCAGGTTTATGCACTCTCTTTAGTCATCCGTGGCATCCCACAGAGCAGATCCTGGCTCGTGTATCTGGAACAGGAG